CAACAGCATTTGGAGACTTACCGTATTTACCTATACTAATATCCACCCCCTATTAGTATCCCCTCCCTTCTTTGGAGTTCGAAACCATGCTAGCATCCATAACCCAGTGCTAGTATGCACCCCCAAACCTCAACAGAGCAAAAGCAAAGGAGCGAATGGTGGCAAGGGATGTGGGTGGCATGAGTTGGTTTGTGTTGCCCAGTCTGGTTCAAACACAATTCCCTGCGATTTGCGCATCGATTATGACGATCGGGTCGGCATGGATGCTGTTGAGGGAGAATATGGCAGGAGGTCCGCAAAAGGCCACAGGTTGACAGGCTGCCTTTGGGCTTTTAGCAAAGGATCGCTGGGCAGCAACCGGCGCTGCTAGACCCTACCATAGCAGGAAATAAAAGCTGCCCTGGTTTCTAGATTGAGTCAACCTGCTCCCAGCCGGCCAGAGTGGGTTCCAGTGACGCCTGCCAAGGGCGCCCCAAGGCCCAACACCAGGAACAGGCAGGCGATGGCGCTGGTCAGGCCGGCCACCTTGCAAGCTGGCCTAGACACGCTGGGGCGCCACGTCGCGACGACGGACTTGGCCCCCGGCGCTTTGGTAAGGTGAGCCGGCTGGAATAGCTGGTGGAATGTGTGATTGGCCAATCACACAACAAACCCAGGGGTGTGTGGCATGGCAGCTGTGCGAATTGGGGACAGGCCCTGCATTTGTGGCATTTTGCTGGCCATCTCGGTCCTCGTTCTACACATCATGGAGGCAAACGTACCTCAAGCAGCCCAAGGAACCCCTGTTGGCTCCAATCGCCAGTTGCCCCCACCTGGTGCAGCCCCAAGTCTAGGCCGCTGGCTCCCGTGAAGACGCTGTCAACTTTCAGTAATAGCATTGGTCACCAACAATATGGTGTTGTCAACAGTGTGGTGTCTATTATTTGTAACTTGGACATGGTGATGCTGCTACCTACGCCTTGCATCTTACAATATTTCAAGCCCATTTTGGGGGCCTTGCACGATCTATGTTTCAGAAATTTTGTTTGTCTACTCCTTGGATCAGGGGTCTAAACTGCATTAGTATCCATGCCCCACTATCAGTATCCACCGCTCATTTTGGGGGTCCAACACACACCTACTAATACCGGGTAAATACGGTAATAATCTTCCGCTGTCGCAAGGGAAGTAGGCTCAAGCAATTCTTCACCAGGTGTCTGCCTCTTGCTTGCTACGATCTCTTTCTTACTAAGAACTACCTTTGCCCTCCCCTTTTCCATACACCAACAGACATTCGGTGTACTGCTCTTGGAACTGTAGATTGGGGGTTCAGTTGAGAGGACATGTAGGCCAAACAAATCGTTCTGTTTGATACACTGGTATGGGCAAAACATGTGACACATGATTTTGGCTTTGTGTGGATTGCAAGGAACATCACTTCAGTCCATTCTAGTGGTGCTCACCTGAGCCCGTCGCCAGAAGCTCTCCGTTTCTGACCAAATATGCCCAGTGCAGGCCGGTGCTGTGGCCCCTGAGCACATGAAGGCACTGGCCAGATTTGACATCCCACACCAAGGCAACGCTGTCCTCGCCAATAGTGACTGCACGGACACCATCTGGTGACATGACGATGCCAATGACCTTGCCATGGTGGTGCTCTGGGAGCTGCACAGCTGGGGCTTGGAGATCCCACACGCGAGCAGTGCCATCTTCAGATGCTGAAATAACACAAGTACAGCCCAAGTTGCCAAATGCGTCATAGACAGTGGCACCAAAACACACTGGGCGTTTCGGTCCTGTTCTTCCACACAGTGCACCATGGACCTATAAGCGAGGGCTAAAACTCGCCAACATGCCAGTACTTGCGACTACCACAGCTGCCGCCTGAACTGCGCACTCTTGGATTTGGACTCACAGGCCCTAACGTCCATTGCTGAAACCCTGTTACAGCTGGAAAGGATCAAACCCAACAGCACCACAAAGAACATAGAAGCACATGCGATGGTCCTGACAGTTTCTTGGTAGATTCACTGTTGTCCACAAAATGGCCGCCACTCAAATCGTCTAGGTCATTCTTATGTGTGTACGCACCTGTGATGGCAAACCGCCCCTTGTACGACAGCTCAACGCTGTTCACTTCCCCACTGTGGCCCTTGCAAACACGCAGGGCCTCACCGGTGTTCGCATCCCAGTAGACAGCAAGGTCATCACCTGTGTCAAGCCAAGCCATCAATCAGCAGACAGACGTCAGCCGGGCCAGGCATACACTGCAGCAAAGAAATCTGACACACACAGGGATGGTGACTCTGTATTGCAACCTCAATTGCCATGCCTCTGCACAGAAGCAGCCCAAAACAGACGATGCGAATGCAATGCACAATAGCTTGTTATCAGCCTGGTCAGCAGCAGGCAAGTGATAAGCTGAACTGAGCACAAGCAGGAGGCAGTTGCTCTCTTATGGGTGCAAACATGGCTCTGGTTTCTTGTGGTATCTGTGCTGCACACTTGGAACAAGCGACCAACAGGTCATTGATCTGTGCATGCACGAGTTGCTCCAGTGGCCAAAGAAAGATTTGGTTTCAACACCTCCAAGATTCTATCTGATTGTCCTCTACCTCAGTCTTGTAAAACAAGTTCTTTCTTGCTGCACAAAAGAAATGTTATGGAGACTATTGTTGGAATGTTCTCTTTATTATGTGAGCCAGAAAATTGACAGCAAGTATTGTTGTGTCTTCAGATCAACAATGGCCACAACAGGATAAGGAAACACAGCCACTATGTGTCTTCTGACTTATCACACCAAGGGACAAGGAATGCACCCACCAGAAGCAGTGACAACCCTTTGCCCGTTGTGCGTGATGGCTGCATCGTTAATCCATGCCCCATGGCCACACAACTCGGACAGCATCTTCTGGTTCTCAATGTCCCACACGATGGCAGTGTTATCGTCTGACACCGACACCGCACGCTTGCCATCAGGAGTTACAACCAGATTATTGATCTGGCCCCTGTGCCCAGTGAACACCTTATTGCATACACCCGTCCACAGGTCCCACAAGCGGATCGTCTTGTCATGCGAGGCAGTCAACAGGGTGCCACTGTCACCCGCAAATGCCAGTGCCTTGATCCAGTCAGTGTGGCCCTCAAGGGTGTCCACTGCCTCCCCTGTCTCCATCTTCCACACTCGCACACAGTACTCCGCATCCACTGAGGCCAGGAGGCGGCTGTCCGGGGAGATCGCCACACCGTCATGAGCCCCCCACTCCTCCCATGTTGGGGCCACACCCCCACCCATGCCTGAAAGAACGTGCAGACAGTTGCCCTTGCTCATGCTCCATATGCGGGTGGTCATGTCCTGCGAGGAGGTGACAAGTCTGCGACCCTGGGGGTCGATCGCCACTGCGTGGATCCTATGGCACAGCACAATGTCCAGATAAGACCCACAAGAGAAAGCTGGGAATCTCCAGGGGAAGCACTGTTCTATGACAATTCTGCACGAGTTCGCTGAAGGTCCACCAAACAGTACAGCAATTTCGACTTTGTCAGTATTTGCTTGATGAGATGTGACAAGGGTGCATCATGACTGTCGTTGGTACTCAATGAAGCAACACTTCCACAACCAAGTAGTCTGCAGACAACACAATAAAGAGCACACCTGGCAGCAGCCTGGTGTGGTTGCCAGACACTTGGTACATTCACTATGGGGTGCTCATGGATGCACGAGTTTCAACCGCAGCAAATCAAATTGAAGATTCTAATCTAGGGTGCACTACCCCCCAGCCAATATATCACCTCTGACATGCATTTGGGGCAATGGAACCCATCCAACACAGGCCATACCTCTTTTTGTGCCCACGCAGTTTATGCCTCCAGATGCCTGATGACAAGTCCCACACTATCGCCATGGTGTCCTCAGAGCCTGATGCAAGTGTTTGGCCATCAGCAGAAATCGATATGCTGGTTATGGGCCCCTGGTGCTCCTCCAGCAGCAAAACACAGTCCCCGATCTCCATGTCCCAGACCCGGATTGCTGCATCAGACGACCCCGTTATGACCTCCATTCCGTTGGGCGCCAGCACAACCTTCTTCACAGCCTCGGTGTGACCCCTCAAGATAAGGCGCTGAAGGCCACCAGCCTGCTCCAGAGTGGGTCTCCTTGGCAGCATGTGCACAGGCATGTTCCTTGCCCTCCGGTGAGGCACAGCCATCCAGCACTCCGCCCGTGCCGTTTCATACCACTCTCCCAGGTTGGTGTGCTGTGCTGAGACCATGAGGCGCGACAGCATCTGTTCCTTCAGTATGTACAGGTTGGGGTGGTCCAAGCTGGCAGCTGCAGACATTTGGAATGCTCGAAGGAGGAGCTTAATGTCTGCATCTTCCTTGACAGTGAGATACCTGCCAGGTAGACCAAACAATTGACCTATTGGAGGATATCTCTACACACTGGGCCACAATCCTGGGCAAGAATTTTGCTCCACAGTTCAATGCCTAGAGCGTAGAAGATGATACAGTGTGCAGGCACATCATGTTTATATCACAAAAACTGCCAATGCACCCTGCATTGACTTGCAAGCTTGTTCTGCTCTTGTCCCTGCTCATTCTCACGGGTCAGTTGTATTGTTGTTTCCAATCTGCGCAAGACAACCCGGATTATGTGCAAGCCTATATGCCAAGTCATACAAAGATTACCACTCTACAGGCATCTGTGTGCACATGTATCCCTGAGAAGACGATATGGTGGGAGTGGACAAAAGATGCCAACATGAGCTTCTCGAATCTGTGAAAACTGCAGGCCACTTGGGAGGCCTTCTGCTGTCAGATGGCAGTTCACTCCACTCTCATAATGTTCTAAAACGAAACAGCAATGGGACATTAAAGACAGAGGAAATTACCAGAAAATGAAGTGTCACGGAACACACCTCCTGAAGTCAGACACAACTGCACCCGTGCCGTAACTGCGCAGTTTCGTCTCCAGCCAGATCGGGTCCCTCAAAAGTCCCGCCATCTCTTCCATGCGGTCAGCCTCCACAAGGTGGTTGGCGATATTCTGCATGAAGTACTGGTCGTCAGGCACCAGCGCAAGGTTGTGGAAGCCCTGTCGGTACAGGTTGACCAGCCGTGAGTGCTGCGCCTTCAGGCTGTCCTTGAACATGTCTTGTAGCCTACCCAGATGGAAGGGGCTGATTATGCACCAAGCACTGTCGTCCTCAAGAATGGCCATCTTCAGGATCTTTCTGGCTTCCATGAGGCTTGCAGCTGCCTCTGCGTCATGGAGGTCTGGTGTGCCCCACAGGCGAGCCAGGAGGCTGATGGGCACTGGAACATCGGCAGGGAGAACTGCCAGCTGGTGATATCTTCGCCGCAGCTCCCCAGAGAATGAATCGCTGTTCAGGCGAGAAACTGCAACAGCAGAAGGCCAGGATGGCCAATACATTACCATTCAGCACACCACATGCACTTGTGTGTCGGACTGACCCAATGCACTGTTGGGGAATTCGCTACAGGCTCGTGCGCTGCCAGTTGCTCAGCAAATCAGTTTTCACAGGCCTCAGCCGGGAACACAGCAGGTGGACATGCAAGGACGCTTTGGGAAGACCTGCAAAGGCTGAGAGAAGACAGAGAGGTCCATTACATCCAGTAAACAGGGTGGAAGGCATGTGCATGTCACAACTTGTCTGACCTTTATGATCACTACTTGAACAAGTAACCCTACTCACAGACAAAATCAAAGCCATGTATACACACACCACAGTGCTCCAGTGCCACCTTGTGCAGCGAGTTGATCTGCCTTGTTGTCCTACACCGCTGGCAGCACCTCACAGGTGACCAGAGGAAATTCTCTTGAGCAACACAACAAAGCTACTCGTGAAGGGAACATACAAATGAGTGTTTAACTAGAGGCAGCTCTCAACAGCTCCACAATCGTATCGAGGCATGCTCCAGCCCACCTGAACCATCCTCCACAGCATTCTGGAATATATCCAAGCTGGAAAACTCATGCTGGTATTCAACGCTCTTTCTCTCTGCAGCAAAACTGCTCCGCACATCAGTGCGGCTCCGCCCCCCTCCAGCATCTCCACCCACTGGCGGACCCCCAGCACTCAGCTCCAGCTGATTCATGGACTGTACCATATCTGGTGGCAAGTAGCTGCTTGTGTCCATCTGTCGACCAGCCCCAGGTCCCCCGCTGGAGTGTTTCATCGAGGCCAACCTGTTAGACTGACCGTTCAGCAGCGGGGGCCCTACGCTAGCTTCTTGAGCAGGCGGCTCTGCATCGGCCCAGGCGTCCCGAAGGCTCTCTGGTGGGGGCGCGGTACGGGGTGGTGGTGGAGGAGGGATCCCAACAGGGAACCCATCCGCACTGGTCCTTGCCTGGCCCATCTCGCTCGAGCTGTCAGAAATCTTCCGAGGATCGGCCGTGCTTGCGCGGATGCCAATATTAAGGGACATCCTCTCTGGTGCTCCTGAGGAGCCAGCCCAGGCCCCATACGGTCCTCCCGCCACGTCCATCGATGGCCGCACCCTCTGCATGGACTCAGCGCGGGCCGAAGCATCCATGAAATCGTCATTGTCATCATACTGTGCTGCGCGCTCAGCTGATAACCTCATTTTGCCATCTGAAGCCCTCCGTTGGGAGGTGGTGGGGGCAGCATCATGGTCATGGCTGCTGGCTACAGAAGAAGCCTTTGACGAAGAGAAAAAGCTGGACATTTGCGCAATGTGCTCTTGGGAGGCACGGCCCCCCGCCTTTTCACCTCGACCCTGTTCGGAGGAGGGCACCCGCGAACCAGACGCCCTGCTCCCAGCATCAGAAGGGGCATGCCGACTGGACTTGAAGAAGCCAGACTCCTGAACACTGCCCAGGCGGTGGTCGTCTGCCATGCTGTTCGGATCTCCAAACTGTGTGCTTCCAAGAAGCGAGTCTGCAGGGTGGCAAACCAGGACTCTGATTATGGACACAACTCATGAAAGACTCGCACGACTCACGGACACAAAGAACTCTTGCTCAGGAAGGAAGCACTCATGACCTGGACAACTCTGGGCTGGACCTTCAATAGGGCTCACACAGGCAGTACTGCAATGAAGAGAACATATCCAAGAATCCAAGAATCAAAAGGATTGTCACAGAAACAAGAAACACGAGTCTACCATTCGCACTCGATTGGATGCTCAACAAGCTTCTAGGCAACGCACAAGCCAGTGCCCTGCAGTAGTGAGCCCGAAGCAGATGCTTCCATGGATGGGAAAGAAATAAAATTGTATGAACACCCTGCTTTGCTGGTGTATGTTCGCTGTAGAAAAGTCAACCTCTAAATCCAATCAGTTTGCGGGACCACTTGCTGACAATGATATCTCTCTGGTAGTAATTCACCCACACCCACAACCCAAACTACCCGTATTTACCCAGTATTAGTAGGCGTGTATTGGACCCCCAAAATGAGTGGTGGATACTAATAGTGGGTCATGTATACTAACGCGCTTTGGACCCCTGATCCCAAAGAGCAGACAGAGAAAATTTTTGACAAATAGGCTGTGAAATGCCCAGAAATGGACAAGAATGGCAATGCTAGTGCGGAGTGTTGTCAGCCCCTTCACGGGAGCTGGCGGCCTTGACTTGGGGCTGCATCAGGTGGTGGCGACTGGCGATTGGGGCCAATAGGGGTTCGCTGGAATGCTTGAGGCGCGTTTTCCTCTGCAATGCAAAGAACGAGGATTGATACGGGTCTCAACTCGCTGGGGCGCAACGTCGCAACGATAAGCTTGAAACGCGGCACTTTGCCAGGCTAATGGTGGCTGGGAAGGCTGATGTGATTTGTGATTGTGTTTGTGGCCTGGCAGCTAGTACGATGTGCGAGTTGGGGACGGGCCTGGCCTTGGCAGTGCTTTGTAAGCAGTTTGAAAGGCGGGATCTCACAACGGCATCCGCCCCGACCAACGCCGTCGCCTGCCCATTCCTGGCGCTGTGCCTTGGGGCGCCCTTGGCAGGTGGCAGGCCGGAACCTACGCTGGCCGGCCAGGGAAGAGGTTAACTCAATCCAGAAACAAGGCGGCTTTGATTTCTCGACTGCTTCTTTGATTGGGCCCCGCGGCATCGGTCGATGCCCTGCGATCCTGCGCTGAGAGCGCAAACGGCGGCCAGTCAACCATGTGGCCTTTCCCAGGCCCTCTTTCAAATTCTCCCTCAACACCATCCACTCCGACCCGATCGTCCCCGTCGATGTGCAAATCGCAGGGAACACGTTTTGGTCTACACTACGCAACACGGTCCAACACCAGCTGCCGACTTCCTTTGCCACCATCCGTGCCTTTGCTCGTTTCTGTCTGCGTTTGGGGGTGGATACTAATAGGGGGTGCCTACTAATACCGGGTAAATACGGTAATAAAAGGGGGCCTGCAGTTTCAGCAAAAAGATAACATCCTACATTGTCCTGATCTCTTCAAGACAGGAAGGTGCCTTTGCACATTGAAGGTGGTGATGAGTATTGTCCTTGTGCTGTTTGAATGACAACACCAAACACAGCCTGGCAGACAAGCTATGTTGTTCTCTAGAGGTTGCCATACTCAGGAACAGAACATGCTTGTACCCAATACCTTGCGTGCTGGTGGACTTTGGGGTGCTTGACGATTGTCTGGCAACCTCCCCACTATTGCTGCCCAATGGAGATGCTGGCCCCAGTTGTGGGCTGTAATGCCAGCCTCCGTGAAGGGCACTATCGTCGGATGGGCGGCAGCCTTCGCGCTGCCCACTATAGAGCTTCCCTGACTGGTGCTCTGCTATCTGCACAGCAAGGTTACACAAACAATGGTGTCAAAGACAGGCAGCACACGGCACACAATGAACAACCCTTTTTCAAACTGGGAAAGGGTGTTCAGGCATATCAGAGTATGGAAGAGCAAGCGCTGAACAATTTAAGTTGACAGCAACGATGAGTGATGAAGCTCAAATGCATGTTGTGTACACTTGGGGGTGGAAAAGACCACTCCTTGTCCAGCATGGCAGGCAGAATGTGCTGACGTCAACACGCAACACTTTGCTGCAGCGATGAGCACAAAGAGAAGTGAAACAAATGCCAGAGACAAGGCAGGCCCAGCTCAAGGCAATCCTGCAGGCTATCAAGCATCAGTTGGCAACGCTGGCATTCCTGAAAATTTTGACTCATTGCCCAGCCATTTCTGCAATGGGTTGAATGTGCACGTACTTTGACGGTACGTTTTGGTATGCTTGTCGTGGCACATGGCGGGTCGATGCCATCCATGGCTTGAACACCAAAGCAAACAAATGGGGTGTGCCTGCATTGTTCCTACAGGCAAACTCAGTTTGTGCATGGACTGCACAGGGATGGAGCCCTGATGGAGCAAGGGCCCAGATGGACTGTGGCCTCTGGTCTCCAGCGGCCATGGCAGGCTGGTGCAATTGATCGCCATTGCTCTGAAGCAAAAAACGGGGGTTAACTCTGCATCGCTCACCAGTGTCACTCAGCCTCTCTACCCACGAAATGAAAGAGGCTGCTTATTTATCGCCCCGCTGCCTTTCTAAAGGACACCGCCAGTGACTAAGGCTAGCTGTTGCCCACAAGCACAGGTGGCTGACAACTGCCTTTAACATGAGCTGAAGCGACTCCTTTGAGGTGCTCCGAAAGACCGCACAGCCTTTTCTCCACGTGGAAAACTGAAGGGACATGTCCAGCACCTGCTCTAAACGTAGTGCCCGTTGGCACAAAAACATTGGTGACCCTGGTTGGGTTTTAATGGTGAGGAATAAAGCCCTTTCAGAGCGACGCTAGCACTAAACACTGGAGACAAAAATACCAAAGAGGCAACACAGTACGATATCATGCACTGGGTGCACCCAATCGCTGCACAAAAACGCCCACAATCGATATACTTTGCATTGGTCTGACCCAAATGCACTACACCAGACCTCTTGGGCCTCGTTTCCTTCCTTCCCATGATGTTGGCGACTATACCACGGCATAAAATTTGCACATCAAGCACACCATTGCTCCTGAATCCAAACCATAACTACAGAAGGCCTGCCCAGACGCATTGTGCATTCAATCTTGAACTGCTCCGCAACACAAGCAGTGTCCGCTAGGTACATTGTCTATATGAACCTTGCCCTTCATTGCCGTAGCTGGCTGTGATTCACGATCACAGAAGAATGTGAAACAAAATAAGAAACTGCCCCATTCACGGACACGCTGCACCCACTGTGGCATCTGAGAAATCTTGTGGGGAATCCAGTACACAAGAACTGACCCCTGCCCATGGGATGGGTCATTTACAAATCAACACTCCCCCTGCATGCTATCCATGCCAGCTTCTCCATACTGAGATCCAGGCCACATGTGTTCTGCCTACGCTTCTGGAAAGGGTGCATAGACAGTGCGTACTTAACCACGTTTGGTGCTAGGAATGCAGATGGTCTGTAAGGCTATGTATAAACTCCCCCAGCACACAACTGCAGGTTGCACAAACAGCCTGTCAACACCCCCGGAAGTTGTGGTAATAGGGTTTCCCAATATCTGACTGTTTTGATTGAGGCAAGCAATGCATAGAACACACACACACACACACACACACACACACATCAACCATCGACAGGGGTTGAACGACTGCTAAGGTAATGGCTTGGACCAATTTTCAACTAGGAATGCTGACATGCCAACAGTATGCACACCACCTCCAAGAACCTGAACGAGTTATTGTTATGACATAAGGAAACACATGGTGGTCGTGTCACCAAACTCCACCTAAAGATAAAATTATTCAGGATAGTACCCTCCATGATGATTTTGCCAACCCAACAACAAAGAGAACTGGTAGGCTACACCCCACTGGACAGTGCCACTGAGCAAACATGTGTCTGCGTTGGCAGCCAAACTGTGCTCACATCATTCTGCTGAAACGCTGCCACACACCCTAAAGTCAACCTACAGTGCTTGCTGATCGGTGCCATATCCAACACAGTGAAATGGAATCCATGCTGCCCAGGGTTGCAGAGAGAGTCTTTGCTCCTTGAGTTTCAGGTGCCTTCCCTGTGTTCCTCAGGGCACCTCAGATTACTGTTTCACACCTCAGATCTCAAGCCCCTGTCCATTGCCAGGGTGTGCTGCTTTGGGTGCCACTACGCACTGCAACTTGTTGCCTAATGCACCAGGGGCGGTCTCATGCAGCATCCTCCGCAGCAGAGAACAGCAGATCACAAAAATTCTCGCTCGTTTCAGGGGACATCCGTGCCCGAACATCCTCCCTACAACCACACAGCTCTCGCCTCGTGCAAGCCCACCAGAAGGGGCACGAAGCCACAAGATACGTCGACAAAAACACGGAAGGTTCGTCCTCTGGATTACACTCGACTGCCGGTGGCTTGCGAGTGTTCATCCTGACCTGTCGCCAGCACACCGCTGCGCTGGCCAATCCGCACCCGTGACGCGATCCACGTGACATCAAAATGCCCATTTGGACTCGACAACTCAGCATCCCGCCGGCATCCCGCACCGCCAAATCCAGGGGAGGTTGGGAAGGGCCTGTTTCCAGCCGCCAGGAGCGGCCACAACGGGCGAAACAGGGTGCGCCGGCGATTCGGCCACTTCCAAAAGAGTCCCCTCAACACCGGCCTCGAGCGTTGCCAAAGCAAACACCGCAATGCCACCAGGCCGAATGGTGCCCCCCAGAGGTCAGCGCGGCGCGCCCACCCGTCGCTAGTCCCAGCACACAGACGGGGTCCGCCTCAACAAAATCCAGCGTCAGATGGCGCCTTGCACAGACCGCGCCACAGCGTCCATGCCGACCGGCAAACAAAAGCGACGTCCGCTCCGGGGCTGGAAAACAACACGCCGCGGGCGGGCAACCCGCCGTCTGGCGCGTCAACGGAAAGA